TTTAGGCCTTCCGAAAGGAGCTATGTTGACTCATGGATCGTTAGCTGCGAATGCTGAAGCTCTCGTGCATGCATGGAGATTCAAACAAAACGATAAGTAAGTCAGTAATTTAGCATTATGAAGCTTTGCGCCAATCTGGCACTTTACAGATTACTCCACATGCTTCCTTTTTACCACGTACATGGCATGTTCATCTCCCTCAATTGCTCAATATTTTCGCACTCTACAGTTGTGTGGAGAGAACAATTTTCCATTGGAGACTGTTTGAAGTGGTTACCGTCATCAACAGTCATGATGGGTGTTCCTACATATTATAGGTATAGTCCATTATCGTGCGAAGAGAGTGGCCATATAAGCAAAGAGGATGCGAACGCCATCTTATCATCTTTAGAGCGCGCGTTAGGCGCAGAACGCAACATGATCGCCTTCAGGTCCGCTTAGCTTATTTGGGCAACTGCCTTCGTCCGCCATGGACTATTAACTCTGAAGCGCGATGCGCATTTCCGAATCAAACTGGGTATCGAGAAATCATGCTAGTGAATATGATCCGTTTTGGAGGCTACTAACAAGGGGGGTCTCGAAGTTGAAATGGCCAATCACAAAAACTACTATTAGTGAGAGCTTGGAGCGCTGAATATGAAACTGCTCTTTCTGTCTGCAAAGCGCCTTAGGAAAAGACTTTATGAGCATTTTTCCAAGCGAAAAATTCGACTAGTAGCCGGGATAAAATCTTGGGCTACGCTCTTACTAGAACGCCAGTGAAGCAAACAAGTGTCAGGGTACTTCATAGAATAATCTCCTTCTGCCTAGTATAGCAATGCTTCCTATTTCTCCATGTGACTTCTAAAAAGGCTGTAGTGACTGATTATCCCTGACATTAGTTGGTTTTCTCACCTTAAGGAATGCTCATAGCTTTTTCCGAAAGATATGGAAGTCAGAATTGAAATCGGCATTCCAAGCCCTCACTGATGGCTGTAGTTTGTGGTGATGGGCCACTTCAACTTCGTGACCCCTCCTTGTATGTCCTATTACTTCCATGAATAAGCTTCACTTGTAGCTTAGTCTCCTCAAAAAAAAGCTAATACCATTGCTCGTGATGCCTGTGTCACCTTTGATGCAGTACTTATACAAAGAAAACAAAGTCTTAATTGCAGTCGTCTGCTTTCAACGTCCGAACTAATTAGAGATGTCGTACCTCATATGCGACTTTTTGTCAGTGGCAGTGCTCCTCTTTCAACTCCAATCTGGGAAGAATTCAAATCCAGAACGGGGCACGCTATCTTAGAACGTTACGGCATGACTGAAGGTTCTTGCTTTTATATTCATACTATCCAAATCTGTGCATTGTTATCCCAATTTTAGCGCAAGTTATCTGCTCGAATCTATACGACGATCGTCGTCCCGGTACAGTAGGAAAACCAATCGGGGACACAAAGGTTCTTTTTTTTGCATTTCTTTAGAGTTCATAAAAAAAGATCTCTTGCAGCTTCGTATAAATGACGAAGGAGGTATAGAAATACAGTCATCGTCGTTGTTTGCTGGATACTGGAAAAATCCGAAGAAAACTGCTGAAGAGTTCACTGAAGACGGTTATTTCATCACCGGAGATATTGGAGCAGTTGATGAAGATGGTTAGAGCAATGTCTTTGTATCTAAAATCGTGGTTGGATCGCAACTTAACTGATAGCAATAATGCTGCAATATTCACTTTTGCTTATTTGGACGCTCATATATAGCTAATCAACATTTCATACTTTTGCCGAGTCTGATTTTTCAGAAGAATTCAATTCATTACATATCAGAATGGAGATTAAAGTTGATGCTGCTTTTCTAGTCCCTGAGGCAGAACTTTTCTCAAGTCTTTACCGACTATCAATTGTAAGGGGGCATACATTACTCAAATTTTTACGGAGTTCGCAAAGGCACATGTACTTTCGAG